AGGGTAGACAAGGGGTGTGAGTTCCAGAAAGTGAAGATGATTAGGGGCCATCTTGAAGGCTGTTATGGGCTGAATTGTGTGCCCCTAAAATTTGTAGGCTGAAGTCCTAACCCCCGGCTCCCCAGAAGGCAACTGTATTTGAAGAGAGGGTCTTTAAAGAGGAGTTTAAGTTAGATTAAGGTCATACGGGTGCTAATGCGATATAACTCGTGTCCTTGTAAGAAGAGGAAGTTAGGACACAGACACAGAGAAGACCACGCGAGGACACGGAGAGAGGACCGCCATCTGCAAGCCCAGGAGAGAGACCTCAGAGAAGGAACAGCCCTGCAGACACCTTGGACTTCCAGCCTCCGGAATGGAGAGGAAATGCATTTCTGCTCTTTAAGCTCCCAGGGGGTGGTACTTGTTACAGCAACCCTAGTAAACGCATACTTGGAAATAACCCTCAACTATGAAATAAAAGGGAAGACGCACAAGACGAATGACTAAGCCAGCTGTGAGACCATCTCCAAAAACTGACATCTTTTCGTCCCACAAGTTCCAAACAAAGCTACATCTGGTGTCTTATCTTGAGGGTGCTGACCCTTCAAAGATATGCCTGAAAGAGCATCCAGCAAGTCAGATCTGTCTGAACCTATGTCTTGTCGAGTGAAAGAGAAGGGAAAGTGTGAAAGTGATCCATCACTGTTGGCCCCACATGAACACCAGTGAAACTACATCTTAACACGGAAGGGGGTGTGCCTTCCCACACACCTGGGCATGAACTTCGGGAAGGTCCCCTGGCTGGGCGTCCACTGTGACATGTCATTTCCTGCTGCAGTTATATTTTCTGGGTGGGCTCCAGGGATCCTGCTGTTTCCTTAATAAGAGAACGAGAAAACCACCCAGTGGGCCTCAAGGTCTGGGCTAAGGCCATCACAAGGCCAAGTGTGGGTGGGCCTCGACTTCCCAGCCAAAGATTAAGGTGCCAGGGGCTCCCACTGCCAAGAGCAGCCTAATTATCAAAATAAACACACGTTGTGAGGATTAATTAACTTCAGTTTCAGTGTTAAACAATAGCTAAAAAAATAAAAATTAAATGGTTGAATATCGTGTTATCAGATGGATTGGGGGTGGAGGATAGTTTACCAGGAAGAGAGGGTGCAAACAAAATCAGCCTGAGAGGGAGATAATCACTGGGGAAAAAAAAAAAATCCTGCAAACAGTTCAGAGCTCAGTGTCAATAAGGATGTGGTCAGACCTGAGTCCGACCTGAATTACCTTGGGCTTCTTCCTGAAAACACACTGTGGGTTTCACTCTGACCAAGATAAACTCTTTTGCTCCCAGGGTAATTTAAGAGTGCAGAGGCATGCTCTATAAATCACACTCGTCACAAGACCTCCTGGGTCAAAGAGGGTTGTGGTCTTACAAGTGAGAGGGGTTTCTTTTTCCTTCCTCTGTTAGCCTTAAAGAATATGGTCAGGCACACACCCTAAGAAAATATAAGATTTCTAGAGCACTCATACAATTCTGCTGGGAGTGTGAATTAGAAGAACCTTTCTGGATAACAGTTTGGCAGTGTGTATCAAAAGCCTTAATATTTTGAATAGCCTTTGACAAAGCAATCTACTTCCAAGAATTCCTGTGGAAACTATCACACTTGTGTGCAAATATGTAGCTCTAAGGATGTTCCACATAAAACTGCTTCTATTTATTTATTTATTTATTTGAGAGAAAGAGAGCGTGTGTGGGGGAGGGGCAGAGGGAGCAGGAGAATCTCCAGCAGACTCCCTGCTGAGCATGGGGTCCATCCCAGGACCCTGAGATCATGACATGAGCCAAAATCAAGAGTCAGATGCCTAACTGACTGAGCCACCCAGGCGCCCCCACATGGAACTGCTTCTAATGTTCAAAACCAGAAATCATCTGAACGATGATTGCATTGGGTATTGTAAATACATCCATACAATGAAAAACTATGCAATTCTTTAAAATGATGTTCATGTTAAAATTTGTGCAGATATATCAAATGGGAAAAAATAGCATACAAAGTGATATGTATATGACACCTTTGAGGGGGAAGGACATTCACACACAGAAAAGTGGCCAGAAGGAGGTTCCTTAAAGGTTAATGGTTGTGTTGTTGTTGTTGTTGTTGTTTTTTCGGATTTACCAGGAATTTTAATTTTCCTAGTTTGGGCTTGACTGTGCTTTTTGAGTTTTCAACTACAAGCATGTATTTCCTTTGCAACAGAATAAACAATAGTTACATCAGACTTCTAAGAATAATTTCATAATTCAGACAGCTACTTCTTCCCAATGCAGAAATCGTACATCCCATTCTCAGATCTCTTGACTGTGAATTCTGAAGGGTTTAGAGAAAGGCTAGGTGAGCCTATAGACTCTTGGAAATGAAACTGCTGAGTCTGAGGATGTGAAATGCGTCAATTTAAAAGATGTCAGTGTATGGTCTAGAGTCGGTTTACCCTCTCACCAGCCATGCTCAAGAGTTTCCATTGATAGGTATCTTCTTCAACACTTGGGATTGTCAGTCTTCTTAAGTTTTGCTGATCTAGAAAGTGCAAAATATTATTTTCATTGTGGCCTTAATTTGTATGTCCCTGATTTATATATTATATAAACAAACTATGTTATATATATATTTTATATATATTATAACTTATTATAATATATATATTACATATCTGATAAACAACCCATGTCACAGAGCATTGGGAACCCACCGTATCAGTTGACGGACAAGTGCTGAGAATAGCCTGTCATGTTAGCTGTTGTTGTAAGTGAACCGAACTTTGTAAGGTCTCTAAAATTCTCTCCTCTGTTCTCTGCTCTCCAAGCTCTTAATTCCTTCCAGAGTGTATTATTTTTTTAAGGATTTTATTTATTTGTTTGTTTGTTTGTTTAGATAGTGGGGGTCAGGCAGAGGGGGAGAGAGAGAGAATCTCCAGCAGACTCCCCGCTGAGCAAGGAGCCCCACGCTGGACTCAATCCTACGACCCTGAGATCATGACCTGAGCCAAAAACCAAGAGTCAGACACTCAACCAACTAAGCCCCCAGGCGCCCTGCCCATTGCTTCCAAGCTGAGTTTGGTTCCCTTTCTCTCTGGGGCCTCCCGTACACTGTCTGTAAAGGACAGTAGCATCAGGCCATTTCTTTAGGTCTCAGCTGGTGACGTTGGAGAATCCTGCACTGGGTTACTTGTACTCATGACAACATTAACCAGCCATATTGGCTCAAGAAATAGCTTCAGTAAGGCGTGAACTTCCTTCTAGAAATCAGTGCCTATTTTTCCTGGAAACCCCATTTTAAATAGTCCAGTTCCATCTGAAGTCAAGCTGTTGTCATCACTTTCATTCCATGACATTCTCTACCAACACTCAGTAGGTTAGATGAACCACTTTTTTGATTTAGAGATATTTACATCCTTTGTATTATACTTATTTTGAGGGAGAAAAAAATTGCTTGCAGAATAAAGTCTGTCTTTGGCTAAGCATTCACGGGCAAGCTCAGCCTCTCTCCAGGTTCCTTTTCCCGCTCATTCTCTGTGGCTTCCCTGGCCATACCCACTATTCCAGCTCACAGTCAGCACCCTGGACTCCCTTTAAGTGACGCTAGCCCCCTTACTTTGGTATTCGTGCTTTTCTGTCTTGCTTGCTCCTACCCAATTCATGCACTTTCTCTGTGACCAAGTCCCTCTGCCCTAGAAAGCCTGTTGTGACCATGCTAGTCCACACTGATCTCTCCTGACTCTGGCCCCAGCTCCTCTTGTCCTGGCCACACGCTGCTGATGCTCATGCCCTGTTTCACATTGTTGGACATCAGGTCCCATGTGTGGGTTTTGTCTCCAGCTCCAGCACATCCTGTGAATACAAGGTAGACTTCTTTGACTTGTTTTTCCTTACAGCACATAGCATCTCCACACCTCAGCTCTGTACATGTGAAATTCATATTTACTAATTGTGATGGCATTGTGCCAGGTGCTGAAAAACATACCCTCATGTTTATTAGTTCATTTCATTCATTCATCAGTTATTTACTGGGTTTCGACACTGCACCAGGATGTGGGATTTTGATGACAAACAAGACAGAAAGAGTCCCTGTCCTCTTGGAGCTTATGTCCACACAGGGGAGATGGATTCTCAAAGTAGACAAATAGGGGTGCCTGGGTGGCTCAGTCAGTTAAGCGTCAGACTCTTGATTTCAGGTCATGATCTCAGGGTCTTGAGATCAAGCCCCACATCTGGCTCCACACTGAGTGTGGGGCCTGCTTAAGATTCTCTCTCCTGGGGCGCCTGGGTGGCTCAGATGCTTAAGCATCTGCCTTCGGCTCAGGTCATGATCCCAGGGTCCTGGGATCGAGCCCCAGGTCAGGCTCTTGGCTCAGAGGGAAGCCTGGCTCTCCCTCTCCCGCTCCCCCTCCCTGTGTGCACTCTCTCTCTCTCCCTCAAGTAAATAAATAAAATCTTTAAAAACAAAAAAAGATTCTCTCTTCCTCTCCCTCTGTACCCCCCCCGCCGCCTGCTCACATGTGCACGCTCTCTCTCTCTAAAAAAAAAAAAAAAAGCAAATAAAATATTTTAAGGCGTGGTAAGGGGCATAAAAGAAATAATCTTCATTCAGCTTTCTACATATTTTGCCTGTTCTGTGTACAAGGCCAGTTACGTAATTTGTGGGGCTTGTGCAAAATGAAAATGTAGGACCCCTTGCTCAAAAATATGTAAGAATTTCAAGATGGTGAAAACAGAGCATCACAGTAAGCTCAGGGCCCTTCTAACACATGTCATGGAGCCCGCTCTGCCTATAGGGGACTTAGCCCATATGATTTATATGGGAAAGCATCTTGGGTACTTTAATGAGACAGAAAATTATCCGAGAAACTATCTCCATGAGACTTGAAACCCAGCTCAGTGTATTTACTTACAGAAAATAGCATAAGCTATGTGGTTAGCCAGATACGGATGCAACCTAAAATTCTTGTTGACGTTCCCTGCCTTTCAGACTGCCTGTCTTATTCGGCTTTGCAAGTATTATCCAGGAGGTGCTATGGGAAGCAGAGATGCAAAATCATGGTCAACAATCACCATTTCGGGAGCCCCTGTCTGCCAGGAGTGAAAAAATACCTCACTGTCACCTATGCATGTGGTAAGGATATAGACCCTGCCTCTTTGGGAGGTGGTGATCATGGGAACAAAAGGCATTTTTCATGCAACCAACCAAATGATGTTGCTCTTGAAACCGTGTTGTTCCAGATATTCCAGAGTATATTTTTTTTAATCCTTTATTCCTATCTATGATGTTCACATTGAATAAGCAATACAAGTTCTTTGGTCAAAATTTGTTTTGAAAGTACTTTTAGCGATCAGATTGGCAGCAAATGGGAAGAGTAGGAAAAGAACAAGCAAATGGGAGAAGAGTGATTTTAATCTGGGTGCTTAGGAGGCTCTGAAATTTATAGGTACATTACGCAAGCTCCCAGAAGTCTTGTTTGGCTACCGCTTCACCTTGCAGTTTTGGTTTTAGGCTCTAAATGCCTCTCTATACAGCCAACAGCCATTTTATCTGCATACCCACAGCGGTGAGTCAACAGATCAAATGCTCACCCGAAAACAATTAAAAATGTTACATGACAGCAGGACTTGGTTTTCCCAGCGTCTTCAAACAAGAAAATGAAATGCCTGGTTCAGTAGGGTCCAATTTTATAGAGCTGCCCAAAAGAGAATGGGCACTAATGATTCCGAAAGGGTACGGTGGATTTCTGGTTTGTCATCCTGACACACAGATTTTGAAATGATCATAGGAGCCAAGGGAGCTAAAAGAGAACCATATCTGAAAAACCTGGTATCTGTGCTCTTGGAAACCCCTTCTCCTGCCAGATATCCCCACCTTTTTCTTCTTGTAACAGCTTTAACGAGATATAATTCACAGACTATCCAGTTCACCTCCTAAGGCATACAAATCAATGGTTTTAGAGTTTTATTTTATTCTCAGAATTTAATTTTTTTCACAGAATTGTGCAGCTAGTGCCATAGTTAACTTAAGAACATTCTCATCATCCCCCAAAGAAACTCCGCACCCTTTAGCTGTCACCCCCAACCCACCCCTACCGCCCCACCCCAACAACAAATCTACTTTCTGTCTTTATGGATTTGCCTCTTGTACATCTCATATAAATGGAATCATGCAGGATGTGGTGTGGTTTTTTCTTTTGTTTTGGGTTTTTTTTTTTTTTTTTAAAGATTTATTTATTTATTTATTTGAAAGAGAGAGAGAATGAGAGAGAGAGAGAGCACATGAGACGGGGGAGGGTCAGAGGGTGAAGCAGACTCCCTGCTGAGCAGGGAGCCCGATGCGGGACTCGATCCCGGGACTCCAGGATCATGACCTGAGCTGAAGGCAGTCGCTTAACCAACTGAGCCACCCAGGCGCCCCGTTTTGGGGTTTTTTTTTTTTGTGTGTGTGTGTGACTGGTTCTTCTTTACGTAGCGTGTTTCTAAGGTTCATCCATGTTGTAGCATGTATCAATACTTCCTTCCTTTTTATGGTCTAATAATATTCCGATGCATTCCCCAGCCTTTTATATCCTGAGCTAAAAATGTTGTCCTCTGCGGTATCAAAGCTATAATTGGTACCATACGGTGGCTGCATGAATGCATTTCCAAACTAAGAGCGCCACACGTACACTGCATGAAGTGTGGTTTGACTTCCTCTCTCAAGCGTTATTCCTGCTCCCATGCCGGAGCAGCTCCGGGGTCCCCCACACAGATCACTCTGATGTTCTAGTAGCGTCTGACCTCTTTAGCTGAGTGTTGAAGGAGTGTAGCCTGCAAATGAGGTGAATTTCCTTCTGTGCCTTCAAGAATGAGGTGACAGGTGCTAGGGCTGGGGCTCTTCTTAGCGGAGAGAAGGTGGGCTTTCAGGGCCTGGAGGTCCTGCTTCAGTTCAAGCTTCTTCTCCCTCGTCCATTCATTCAGCGCACTGTGGGCATGTGCTCTGTGTCAGGGTGGTGCCCGGTGCCAAGAATTGGGTGGCTAAAAAAGGGGGGGGCATGGTCCTTGTCCCTGGAATTATCAGTTGAGGGTGAGAGATGGCCACCAAACAAACGAGCAGGTAAACCCACCAGGTAAATCTGGGCAGCACATGAGAAGAGCCGAGGAGGGGGCAGGCGCAGAGCTGGTGAGGTCAAGGTGGCATGAAATAGCTCCGGAGCGGCCAGGATCTGGTCTTGCAGGGTCCTCGGGGGAGGTGCCAGTGGAGGGCTTGCGGTGGGGCAGTCAGAACCCTGTGATGACTGGACTCGTAAGAGACCAGTCTGTGGGCTGTGGGGTGGGGAATGGGTTGCAGTGGGCTGGGGGTGGGCAACCAGCTGGAACAAGAGCAAGTAAAAAATCCGTGAAGGGTTTGGAAAGTGGGAAGATGCGAGAGACGCTGAGGACACCTGCCTGGTGGAAAGATTGGGGGCCCAGAGGAGGCAGAGGGATGGGGTCAGCCTCAGATGGGCGTGAAGGATGTTTCCCTTGTCACAGCAGGACAGGAGCCTCTGAGAGTGGCTGGGGGGGCTTGCTGTTCTGTCTCGGGGACTCTGTCTTCTCTGAGTATGAGAGGTCATCAGCTGTGAGGACCGGGGAGGGAAGAGGGTTGGAGAAGATGAGAGAAGGTATAAAGGAAGTGCTGCGGGGGGCGGGAGGCTAGTGCCAGAGTTCTCGGGGACACTAGTCTGCCCGCTGGTCTGGTTCCTTCCAGCGCGGTCAGCTCCTTGAGAGCAGACATGAGAAGAGGGGTCCTCCAGGCTCCCTGATCAATGGCAAAGGAGGGAGAGAGCTGGGGTGCTCCCAAACGAGTGATCACAGTGGTGGATAGAGGAATCCCAGCTGCAGACAGGAGGGGCTCCAGGAAGAAGGGAGATTAGGAGGGTCCCTGGAGGGGTCTGGGTGAGGTTGAGAATGGCAGAGGGAGGCACTTGAGGGAGTCCAGTTGAAGCCAGAAGGCTGAGGTCAGAGAGGGGGCTTGCAACTTGGTTTTGGTTGGGGTGTGTGTGGAGGAAATGGGGCATTGACGGTGTCCTTCCATCTCCCTAGGACAGTGCCCCCTTGTCCAGCAGTGTGGTTCCCAGAAATTATTCCAAAGGGAAGGGGCGCCTGGCACTGTGAGGCAAGTTCGTGCCCATCTCCCCCCCGCCCCGCCCCGACCCCAAGCAGACGCTTTCTAATCACCTTCTAAGTGGTTGGCATTTTAAAAATATACTCTCCTCCACCCCCGGCCAGATGGCTCTTCACTGTGCGGCCTGAATCATTAAAAAATGATTTGCGATGTCTGAATATTTTATAAGTCACCGAACGAGAGTGCAGGGTTTTACATTTTTAAAAAATTTCTCCTAACCGTTGTGGAAGTTGATACGAAGACCGAGGATGTTAATAATTAATTTCTAACTAAGAATCTGTCTTAGTTCGTGCTCTTTGGATGTGAGTGAAGGAGCCAATTTGAGCTGTTTTAAGCCAAAAGGGGGTTGAGGCGGATAGGCATCAGGCCACTGAAGCCAGGACAGGGAAGCAAGGCCTCAGGGTAGGTAGCTCCCAGGTCATGGCAGAACTGTTATCTCTCTTCTCTGCTTCTCAGGGCACTTCTGCTTCCTCATTCTCTCGCTCGATCTCTCTGTCTCTCTCCTTCTGCACCCAGCCTCCCTGTGAGCCTGCGCTGGGTGACATATGGCCACCCCTACAGCCTCCATGATTTTTATGTCCTGTTTCTAACAATTATGGAGACTTGCAGTCTGACAATCTTAATGCCGAATTTCTAACGGAAAGATATTTAATTGGCTGGGCTGGGGTCAGGTAGCCCCGGCCAGAGACCATGTGACGTGATAATAAACATGGCTTCCTAGAGAGGGGCCCGGCCAAACCCCAAGTCAAGATGATCTTACATAAGAGGGTCAGGGAAGGTCCACCCCATAGATGTCTATTCCAATACCCTGTATCTAACTGCAGCGTCTGACCCAGATTTGCTGTTCCACCCAGCAATCTTGCTGTGTCCACCCAGGGGACAGGACACCCCACTCCATGGGTGTGGGGAGGGGAGAGGAGTGTTAGGGACAAGTACTGAACATCAAGCTCTGGGCCCTCATTTCTACAGAAACACAGGCCACCCATCTCCAATAAGACCCAGGAGGCGGGGCAGGGATGCCTCATCCATAGGGACTCTGATTGCCCCTGTTGGTAGGGGGTAGGGAAATTACAATGAGCAGTATGATCTCTGCTCTGGAGACTTGGGGGACAAGGAGGGCTTCCTGGGGGAGGTGGCATTAGAGGCAAGTAAGACCAGCTTACTAAGACCACCTTCTTAGTAAAGGTGGGAGGAGGGACGGGCAACTGGAGTAGCACTGGAGGGATGGGAGGTCAGGCTAGGCTCTTACCCAAGGGTGGGGAGCCCCTGACAAGTTGTCTCAGGGGACCTAATCAATTTGCATTTTAAAAAGAACACTCCTCCCTATTTTATAGAGCTTCATTTAATCCTGGCTCTCTCTTCCCCCGCAGGGCTTAGACTGGGCAGAGAATTTCTGCATCTCTGTGGAGCCCTGGGGCATGACTCAGGCTGTGGGCCCTTTGCTCTTCAAACTGTAGGCAGCACGTCTGACTATAAAGTCAGACCACTCAGCACAGAGCACATTGATGGGGCTGGGATGCATTCCTCCAGTATTCTTTAGTGCATTGCTAAATGAGGTCCTCTGTGTGCTCCCTCCGAGTTTAAGCATTAGCCCACTTCTTGGATATGCTGGATTTCAGACTTTCCTCCTCATAGGATAAGCCAGACCTGGAAAACTCAGCCCACTCTCCCCCCTCACATCTGCAAGGAGGACTTCTCTCTGTATCCAGAGCCACTAGTACTCAAGAGTCACCAAGACAGAGGCACGGCCAGCATCCCCACCCTGATAATGCCAGAAAGGTGCAAGAAATGCGTGGACCTCAGCCTAGGGCCTGAATAGCTCCTCCCAGGAGATGGGGCAGGCAGGTGGGTGCCAGGATTTAGGGACAGGTGGGATGGCGGTACCAAGATTTAGGGGCAAGGGGAATAGGTTCCACGACTTGGGGGCAGTGGGGAAGGAGGTACGAGGATTGGGGGCAGTGGGGAAGGGGGGTACAAGGATTGGGGGCAGTGGGGAAGGGGGGTACCAGGATTGGGGGACAGATGGTATAGGAGATGCTAGAATTGGGGACAGGAGGAACAGGGGGTGCAGGGTTTGGGGAAAGGCGGGTTAGGGGTGTGCCAGGATTTATAGGTGCTCATGCAGTCTGGGTTCCTAGTGAGAAAAAGGGGAAGTTAAGTAGAAATACTGTGTGTCTCTGACATGAAGAATCTTTTTGGGCCCTAAGTGAGACTTCTTTCATAAAGTCCGCATTGACCCAAGCTTGACACAGAAGATTTATCTGGGGTTGGGGGAAGAAGTCGAGGTGGGGGCCCTGCCCAAATTTAGTGGATCATCTTCTCTGGTTTTACCTAAACAGACTCACAGGGACTGTCTGAGTGGAAATCACTTTGCCACCTTTATGATCCTTTATCCAGTTCCCAAAGGCTGAGCGTCCCATGGACAGCACAGCATCATGGAAAGATCGAGGGTACGTGTGCCCAAGACCACGTTGAGGTGCTACCTCTTCCTAGGCGAATGGTGCATCTCTGAGCCTCGGCTGTCCCATCTGCAGGAATGGGGACGATACACATCTTCCCAAGGGGCACCATGAACACCAAGATGCACTGTTTGAACGTGAGCCCAGGGTCCGACGTATTAAGAGCTCCATGAATAATGGCTTGCTGGTGGTTTTACAAACGTATCTAAAATGGAGAGAGGCAGGTTTGAAGGGTGGTGGTACGTAAATCGCACCCCAGCGCCATCTTCATTCTTGAAACAAGGAGATGCAAGAATCCGACAGGTGCATCGACACCTGTTCTGTTCAAGTTCCTAAAAATTCTCCCCCTAGAGAATTTTCATGTAGTAAATGGGCAAGTTTCCTGACAGGAGCCTGTATCACACACGGCAATTTAAGGTCTTATAAGGGCCTGGGTATTCTGCAAAGTTCATCCAGACTGTCCTTCCTCTCTGAGCTCTTCTTCTTTCCCAAACTGTAAAGCCTCTGGCATTTACAGTGAGCCCCCCGACTCAGGCTGTATCTTGACAACAAGCCAAGAGACAGATGTCCAAGATGTGCCACTCCTGGCAGGGAGGACTTACTCCTGCCAAGGAATCAGGGGCACCCTTCCCAGGATGCAGCATGACCAAGAGGCTGTTTCATCAGAAAGCATTTTGTGGCGCTGCTCTGCTCCCAGAATCAGTGGTGTGCCCGCCATCAGCCAAGGGGCATTCCTCAGGGTCCCTGGACAGCACTGCCTCCTGTCATTGTCACCTTACAGCCCTGGATGTGACTCACTGCCAATGGGCATGAAGGCGCCAGGGTGTCCTGTGTGAGGAAAATGCACAATTGAGGAATGCTCTCTGGTTGTCAGTCCCAGGACATCCCTAAAAGAATTTAGTTAAGCGCTTTGAGAAAGGAAATGAGGTTTTCTTGCTGCTGAAGATGTCTTACCAGCTCTTTTTTTTTTTTTTAAAGATTTTATTTATTTGTTTGACAGAGAGAGACAGAGCGAGAGAGGGAACACAAGCAGGGGGAGTGGGAGAGGGAGAAGCAGGCTTCCTGCTGAGCAGAGAGCCCGATGCGGGGCTCAATCCCAGGACCCTGGGATCATGACCTGAGCCAAAGGCAGACGCTTAACGACTGAGCCACCCCGGCGCCCCTCACCAGCTCTTTCAAAAAAAAAAAAAAATCAGTGCAGTTGAACTTGCACAGTTTATGTTGGCTCACTTCTGTTTCCTGTTGCCACTTCTCTCCAGCTGAGCTAGAGAACAAACAAAAATAAGCAATATTCTGCAGCAAAAATATTTGGTTTCCGCTCCCTTCTCCTGGCTGGCTGCGGTACGCTTGGCCTTCAGAATTCTTGCTTGGCCCTCTGCGTGCTACCATCCTGTCTGCTTTCCTCGGGGCATCTTGAGATAGGATGGTTTATTCTTAGGGTCAGTTCGGCAGAATCTCTAATCACCTTCCAACACAGTCTGTTACACTGCTCTCCTCTCGTTTTTCTATTGCATTTAAAATGCCCTTAGAGCATCATTCTTTCATTCTCGCATGCAGTCTTAGAATTCTCTTCAGGCTCATTAAGGAAGCGAGGACTCAGAGCTGTGGGTGAAAAGCAGAGTTGGGCCAGGAGAGGAGGTCTGTGGTGGATTCTGAGTCAATTACAGTCATTTTGTTTCACTACATCTCAAGGGGTTCATGTTCAGAGTTACAGTGTTGTTGTTGTTGTTTTTAATTTTTTTAGAGAGGGAGAAAGAGAGCATGAGTGGTGGGAAGAGCAGAGAGGGAAAGAATCTCAAGCAGACTCTGCACTGAGCTCAGAGCCCGATGCGGGGCTCGATCTCATGACCCCGAGATCATGACCTGAGCTGAAACCAAGAGTCAGACACTCAACCAACTGAGCCACCCAGGCGCCCCCAGAGTTAACAGTGTTATTGAGGTCTGATTTACATGCTCTAAGATTCACCCATTTTAAGCAAAAACAATTCAATGAGTTCTAGTAAATTTACAGAGCTAGCTGCACAATGATCACCGTACTCCAATTTTAAAACATGTCCATGATCCTCAAAGTTCTCTGACACCCATGGGCAGTCAGTCCCCTTTTCCACCCCTGATTCTTGGTAAGCACTATAGAACTTACTTTCTGTCTCTGTGCATTCACCTGTTCTGGATATTTCATATTAATGGAATCATACCATGTGTGGTCTTTTGTGTCTGGCTCCTTTCACTGAGCATTATGATTTTGAGGCTCACCCATGTTACAGCAGGTGCTAGGACTTTGTTTTTTGTTATTGCTAAATATTCTGTTGGGTAGATATACTATAGCTTGTTTACTTGTTCTCCAAAATTTTACCTTTCTGGGACATTTGATGGTCACATAGTTACCATTCGCCTATGTGTGTGAGTGTATCCGATAAGCAGAGTGTGTGATTTATGTACTGATTTGAAAGTGGATTTTTTTTGTATCATCTCCACATTGCAGTGAAAAAATTATATTAAATGTACAAAGTTTTTAAAGTATTTCTTTTCTGGTTTTTAGTTCCCAAGAACATACTCACAGCGATTGATCCAGCCGTTGCTAATCTAAAACCTTCTTTGAAGCAGAAGGATGGTGAATATGGTAATTTTTATGGCTTACTACCAGCATTTCTCTTTAAGTAAAGGTAAACAGCCCCATGTGACCATAGTTGGGTGCACATTGGTTGGAATGAAAAGGGGATGTCAGGAGGTGAGCTGGAGTTACCAGCTCTGATAATGGCAGCGCTATTGCGATGGATTGCAAATGGTGGCCAACATTTTGTTTTGTTTTTCAAATTATAAGTGGAATAAATCCTCCTTCCATTCCCCTCTTATTTCTTAAATGAAATATCACTTGGAAAAAGAGATCTGCTCGGAAACAAATTTGGGGTTCCTGAATTCTATGATGAGCTTGTTGGAAAGATGACCCCACCAGGAACCTGGGTGGGCCAGACCCAGGCTGGACTTGAGGGCCTCCAAACACATGCCACCTCTGCCCTTGGGCTTTCACTGGGCTGTTGTGAGTAGGAGGGGGATGAACATTTTGGTTTTCTTATCAAATCAGACCCTTGGGGCGCCTGATGGGAACTGCAAAGTTTCTGTAGAGCATCTAAGATACTACACTTTGTGTGTGTTCAAAGTTTGTTTTGTATTACTTTTATTACATTTGTGAGGTCTTTTGCCCCTAGGTATAAAAATAAAGTATGCTTGACGTGGAAAACAGGAAAGCAGCAAGAAATAGAACGCGCCCCTAGTCTCAAAGCTCAGAGATTACTATTGTTAATGTTCTGTTTTCTGGTTCCCCCAGACCTGCTCTCTGCCAGGCTCTGCATCTCCCAGCCCCACTGCTGTTTCTAACAGGGCTCCCCACTGGACTCCATGCATATCCTGGGCCCCCAGCTATAGAGGCCAAGAGCTCTGTGCCACCCTTCTTTGGACCTGTCTCACATCCCATGGGGTCCCCAGAGCTCTCAGGCTACCCATCAGGAGCTCCCTAAGCTCTATCACAGCAATGTAACCAGGCATCTGAAACCAGACCTGCCCTACACTTTGTTGGCATTTCCAAAAAATAGCCCCACACAATCTCCCTCCACAGTCTCCCTCCCTTCTTATCTGTGGTCAACAGCGCAGACAGCAGCTCTGTGATTAGGTAAGCCATTATTAAGCCTCCCAGAGGCATGATGAATGACATTGCCTTTGGATGGGGAAATCCCTTTGTTCCCTTCTGTAGTGGGGTGGATAGGTGGCACCTGAAGTTGGAACCAGCACATTTTAGAATTTCTAAATCCCTCTTATCACTTAATATTTTCAGAGACTATTTACTAAATGCCCTTCCTGGCTTAGTCTTCTGTAATTCAGTCAGAGGCCCATTGATTTGATTTCTATGACATTTTATTTATTATGGCAGTCCTGCATTGGGAGCAGAAGGCATACCGTGAATAGCTGTGATTAATCAGTTTTGCATCTTTTATGAAACAGGTATAGACTTTGACCCAAGCAAACCGAGGGTTCTAAGGAAAGATGGAGTTATTGTTAGCAACTCTCTGGCAGCATTTGCTTACATTAGAGGTAGGTCAATAAATTGAAACTTCCTAGAATGCTAACGGCTTTACTGAAGTCTCACTAACAGATGCGATATTTAATTACAACACTCAGCTGAAGAAAAGACTTTAAGTTTGCCTCAGCACCTGCAGTCTTGCTAAGATCTGGAAACACAGAGTCTTGGACTCAGGTACAGTTCCAGCCGGGCTACCCACAAGAGAACCACATGGGGAGGAGGCAAACAGATAAAGTCACACCATTCAGGAGTTGGGCTCCGTGAGTATTTTCCACTTTGAAAAGTAGGAACCCGAGGAATGCACATTCCCCAGCTCTAAAATTTGGGAAGGGCAGAGGATTATTGAATCCCACCCTAGGCTGGAAGAAAATTGAGTTAAAGGATCACCTGGTAAACAAAACAGGTCATGCCCTGTGAAGGCAGAGTCCCTTCCTGAGTCACTTGTGTTACTTCTCACAGTTGCCAAGTTGTCCCTGATAATCTTCCCCTCAAGGATCAGTCAGACTCCCTACCTGGCAGAGCCAAAACTCTCATCAGTGAGGGGATGGAACCTGCCATCTTTCCTCACCTCTGTCTGCTCATCTTAGCGTCCGCCATATTCTGAAATGTCGACTCTGCAAGTTTTGGCAATGCCTGCCTGACTCTGTTCAGGGAGGCCAAATCTCTGAGGCCTTTGGTAAAATTCATGTTAATATACTGCATTATAGAGTTACTGTTCAAGACCTTCCCAGGCTGGGGCTCTTTCAAGTAAGCCTTTCTCAGAGGAAAATAAAAGCGGAAGGGAACAGCCAACACAGGAGATACAAAGGACAGTCTTGGGATCCTCTACCATTCCATCGTCTTCCTGCATCCATAGTTCTCCTCAGTGTCTGTTGTGTGGTTGTTGGTTTTCTCTGAGAATCTTCTCTCTTCAAACCACCCTCCCACTTCCACCTCTTGCTGTTCCTAATAACATTTATGAGGTCTTTCCCTCCCTTATGTAGAAAAGTAGAATGTACTTGAAGTGGAAAACACAGGAAAGCACCAAGAAATAGAACTCTCCCCTAGTCTCAAAGCTTAAACATAACTATTGTTAATGTTCTCTTCTTCTGGTTCCCCCATACCCGCTCTCTGCCAGGCTCTGCATCTTCCAACCCCACTGCTGTTCATAACAGGGCTCCCCCTGGACCCCGTGAATATCCTGGTCCCCCAGCAGTGGAGGCCTGAGAGCTCTGTGCCACCCTTGTCAGAGTTAAGAGATGTAAGGATTTTTATTGTCAAAAATATCCCCATATTTTCAAAGTCCCTGGAGAGCCCCTGGAGAAAAGGCATCATGAAAATCCTTCAGGGAGTAATGATTAATTGGAAGCAATGATGACTTTGCTCACTGAGCTGTGGCCATGCTGGACCTTGTCAGTTCCTCTCGACAGCTGGGTTGGTTCCGGCTGCCATGACAAGACACTGTAGGCTGGCAGCTTCAACAGCAGAAATTCATTCTCACAGTTCTGGAGGCTGGAAGTACAAGGTACTGGCAGAATCAGTTTCTGGTGAGAATGCTCTTCTTGGCTTGTAGCCGGCTGCCTTCTCACATGAGACGTGGGGGTGGGGGGAGGGGGGAGGGGAGAGAGATTGACAGAGGAAGGGAGAGAGAGAGAGGAAGAGAAAAAGAGGGAGGGAGGAAAAGAGAGTAAGAGAAGGAGAGAGAAAGAGAATGCTCTCTGTCATCCCTTCTTATAAAGACACGGATCCTGTTCGATCAGGGGCCCCACCACCCTTAATGACCTCATTTAACCTTAATTACCTCCTTATAGGTCCTATCGCCAAATACCCTGGGGGTTAAGGCTTCAACACATGAATTTGGGGGGACACAATTCAGTCCATAGCAAAGACCCTGAGTGAGAGGACTCTGATCCCCCATTCTGCATGCAGGGAAGCTTAGGGTCAGAGGAGTTGAGTCATTTGCCTGAGGCCACAGCGTGGACATCAGCTGGGCCATGATCAGACTCAACAGATATTAGACCTCTGCTCTGGTTTATCTGAGCAAAAGAAGGATGCTCTTCAGGATTTTGAAGGATGGATATTATCTGAGTTACTCCCTTCCATCCTTGTCTATCCTTCTGCACACTCATTACTCCCAGAAATCATACGAGAGATTTGTTCATTAGCACCCATCTCTCTGCTGGACATTAAGCATCTCAAGGGCGGATGTTTGTTCTCTTATTGTCATGCCCCAGGGTCCAGGATGAGCTGGCACAGGATATATGCCCAGTTAGTACTTAACGAATGAGCAGACAATGAATCTTCATGTGGTGTCATGAGCTGTCCTGCACCGTATTAGCACCCCGTATTTGCTCTTTATAGGTAGTCAATTTTAAAGAAATGTGAGGACGCTGTGGCCTTTATTTGGTTTTATTGAGGGTTGTTTAGGCACATCCATCCCCAAAAGGCACAGGGAAGAGACCTGTCTAAAGGAGAAGCCAGCAGCAGGAGCTGAGAGTGAGCAGGGCAACTTCTGGAAAACTCCGCTCCATACTCAGTAGACTGGGTGGATCCAAAAGGACATTTCCCCAGGTCAGGCTGCAAGTGGCTTTGACACACTGGCACAGTCACATACACATGGGGACAAGTCGACTGGAAACCAAAACCAAGGGACTTGTCCTGGGATGTTGGAACACAGAGGTTGGCGGAATGGATGTGAGGATATCCAAGGGTCCCCGATGAACCGCTTCTCTTTCAGCCATTTAAGTCATCGATGAACCTGTCCCCAGCAGTGAGGCATCATTTTAGGCATGTTTGGACTTTACTGTTATCCTAACTGTGTAGACTTTGATCATTCTAGAATCTAGATCATAGGTTTGAAGAAGCCCCTAGAAAAATTCTGAAATTAGAGAAACAGAAAGTGTGTGTGTGTGTGTATTGTGTGTATTGGTTTTAGGAAGGCAATTTATTAGCTGGCATAGCCACTGGACCCCAGCAGATTGTGCCTAAGGAGCTTTATTTGGACAATTAGTGTTTCACTGACATCTGCTTGCTGTATGTGTTTACTCCACATCTGCTTGCAGGAATGCCTTTGGTGTCCTAGTATTTCTGTCACTTGCCTCTACTTCTGTCTTCAGCCCTCTGGGAGAGCTCGCTGTGGACTGCCCGGGTGCACAGGGTACTTGGGGTAACTAGGGTAGCTGGGGTCACGGGTCAGAAAGCAGAGCTTCTCTTGAGCTGTGGAGGCATCGTTGTTTTCTACGAAAGGAATTCTAGGCGACCAGACAAACCCACATTGAAATGGAAGTATAATAACACATTCCAAAGTCAGAGTTACATGATCCCCTGTCAGGGAGGACGATTGGAAATCAGCACCACCTTGTCACATAGGTGTGGATTCCGATGTGTTCCCACGGTCTCTAATCTTTGGTTCCGTGACAGAAAGTTATTATCACGGCTGTCAGACCAGGGCCCAGTCTCCTTTGTGGTTTCACCCAACAGTAGCAGGGCCCCAGGTGGTGGAACCCTGGCCCTGGTCTCTCGGTGTCTTATTTGGACACAGTAAGCTGGAGCTGGAGCTTGGGTTGGCTCCAGACCAGAGATCTAAGGGTCAAGGGGCCTCAAAGGCCACAGGCCACAGGCCACCTCTGTGAGACTCCTGTAGGCCTACGACGGCTGATGAAATGAATGTCATTCACGTAAGCCTGTGACGAGCCAGCCAAGGCTGGACTGAGAACAATCGCATAGTGTGCAGATTCTGTTTTTGGTTTTTTTTTAAGATTTTATTTATTTATTTGAGAGAGAGAGCACAAGCAGGGGGAGCAGCAGAGGGAAAGGGAGAAGCAGGCTCCCCCTGAACAGAGAGCCCGATGTGGGACTCGATCCCAGGACCCTGAGGTCATGACCTGAGCCAAAGGCAGATGTTTAACCGACTGAGCCACCCAGGTGCCCCATGTGCAGATTCTGTTTAATTGCATGGAGACTAATGCCTCTATCTTTCCGGAGTACATAATAGGAAAGCAGTCAGGAAAGCCTAAAGTGGTCCGATTGATTCTGGAAGACAGATGATGTGTCCTCAGTGTAAAGCGGGGAGCTGTGGAGAGAGCCTGGGCCCAAGCTCAGGGTCCCAGCCACACAGTGGCTTTGGACAAGTGACACAGCTGTCTCAGGAGGGTTTGGGCCCCTCACCTCCATCTAACTAACACCTGGTGATTCTGTGACCTCAAACTAGTCAGTTCAGATGACTAGGAAGCCTTGCTCCAATGGGCTTCGCCATGAGTTGCCATGTCCTCCATCTTTGATCACTGGATCTCGGTGGTGTAGACGTGGCCTAGAGAGCCATGACTTGGCAGGAGGCACACCTGGGCCAGGAGGCACCTAGCATCTGATACCTGAGAAGCTCTCCATGCAATAGAATCCAGACCCTCACCGCCCAGGAGCAGAGGGAGAGAGGAAGGAAGCTGACTAAGACTGTGGAATCCCCACCCACAGGGCACCAAGACTCGGACTTTAGATCCACAACCCCTTCTCCCGTGCCCTTAGCAGGTGTTAGTGTAATCCCTGCTCTGCACTGGGTGCTGGGTGTTTGGTGAAGAACCAGACCATCGGGCCCCTGTCCTCGTGGAGCTTGCATTCTACAAGGTGAGAAAGGACAAAATGTGCTCAGCGGTTTAGTGACATTCAAGATGCTATGAGACCTAATGACAGGGAACCTGGCCCAACCTGGGGCTGGGAGAATAGAGGTCTAGATGAAGGAGGAAGAAAGGACATTCCAGCAGAAGGAACAGTACATGCAAAAGTGCCAGGTGTGAGGCCCCCATGAGGAATGGAGAGAGGCCGGTGTGGCCAGAAAACAGAAATTGAGGGATGAATGAATGTTTGGAGTTTAACTTGGGGAGGGTAGCAGGGGCTGGGTCCTAGCAAGCTTCATAGACTAGGGTCAGGTTCCAGTTCTGGCTAAGCCGAAAGAGGCCAGCTGTCCTCAGGCGGTGGCTTCCCTTACTGGCTCAGCTTGAGCCTCTGTATCAGGGGTCAGCCAACTGTGGCCCTTGGGCCAGTTTTGTAAATCAAGTTTTATTAGAACACAGCACACCTGTATGTCCGGGGCTGCTTTTCTGCTAAAAGGCAGAGTTGAAGAGTTGCAACACATACTGTATGGCTCACAAAGCCTAAGATACTTACTATCTGGCCCTTTACAGAGGAAGTCCGCCAACTCCTGTTTTATATTTTGAGGGAGTTTCCTGGATCATTATTTCCCAAAGAGGGAGTACTAACCCCTCAGGGGGCACATAACTAAAAAATGGAGAGAGTAATAGTCCTTTCTGTTCAGGGTTAATGTAAGGATTAAACCTATGAAAGATTTAGACCAGGGGCGCCTGGGTGGCTCAGTCAGTGAAGCGTCTGCCTTTGGCTCAGGTCATGATCCCAGGATCCCGGGATCGAGTCGCGCATCGGGCTCCTTGCTCAGCAGGGGAACTGCTTTTCCCTCTGCCTGCCCCTCCCCCTGCTTGTGCTCTCTCTCTCTCTCTCTCTCTGATAAATAAATAAATAAAATCTTAAAAAAAAAAGATTTAGACCAGAATATGTAGTACAAATTAGCATCGTTTCTATTTATATTATCATTATCATACAATCATTTGGATGTCGGAAAAGCTACCAGAACTTTTATTTATATTTATTTTTTAATCTAAAGAAATAAAGCTTTGTTAACATCTACTGTTATTAGTACTTACATTCATATATATATATATATTTTATATATAAGTTAATTTTTCATAATTTACTCCTAATAGCTAACAGTTTATTGAGCATTTACTATGTGTCAGTGAATGTTCCATGAGTGTTACAAGAATTAACTGTATACCAGGAAGGTGCTGTTAGTCCCATTTTACAAGTGGGGAAACTGGAGCACAGAGGGGTTATGTAACTTGCCAAAAATCATACAGCCAATGAGTAGCAGATCAGAGTTTGCAATTGGGGGGTCCAGCTTCCGAGTCCCCCTGCTATGTGTCCTCTCATGTACATACCTGTATTGACTATATATGCTCAAAACCCTTTTTTTTCTTCTTTACCCAATGAGAGTACAGGATCAGTTAGGTGAGGATGGTCTCAAAGTTGCTGTCCAGGACTGGCATTCTGCATTAGCTGCCAGTTTGGGCAGACAGCTGTTTCTGGGGGACTTTGGATTGGCGAAGACTAACAGCTCTTCCCGGCTCCTGACTTGTCTTTTCGCCCACAGCCCACCCCGAGAGAGCTGCATTGCTGTTCGTGTCCAGTGTTTGCATCGGTCTGGCACTCACATTGTGCGCCTTGGTCATCCGAGTGTCCTGCACCAAGGACTTCAGGGAGCTGCAGCTGACGAGGGAGCACCTGGTGCCAGAAAGTGCCAAGGCTGAAGAAGACAGCGAGGATGAAGAGGGGGAGGAGGACTCCTCTGACTCCGATTTTCCAGGAGAACTGTCTGGGTTTTGTAGGACTTCGTATCCTGTCTACAGTTCCATAGAGGCTGCAGAGCTGGCAGAAAGAATTGAGCGCAGGGAGCAAATCATCCAGGAAATATGGATGAACAGTGGTTTGGACACTTCACTCCCAAGAAATATGGGCCAGTTCTACTGAGAAAGAGATGCGTCTTCGTGCGATCATACTTTCTGAAGAGGGAAGGATCCAAAATGCCCCTCCAGTTCTGTTTCACTTGTACCTTCTATGAAGGAGTATTTGTCAGGTCATCCAATACTGGTGAAGCCAGAAGCTATTAAAGGGACATTTCAAACTGTTTACAGCGCATTTCAAAATAAATTAGGAGGGAGGTCTTTGTTTTCTGTATTTATTTAAATTCATAACATAGAGTGCACATTTACTGAGTGCTTATAATGCCATGAGCGTCTCTAGCTGCTTTTCATGTATTAAGTCATTTAATCCCCACAACTGCTTCATGACATAGTGCTATGATCCCCATTTTACAGATTAAACAGGAGGTCCCCTACAACCATAAAAAAATTGAACTGATATCCAAGACGGCAAGCTTGAATCCATCCACTATGTGTTCACTGGCGGCGGATTTTAATCACTAACATTACTTGTTTAGAACAGGGGTCAGCAAGGTTTTTCTTTAAGGGCAAGATAATATTTTAGGCATTATGGTTCATGCCATGACTACTCAACTCTGCCATTGTAGCTCACAGGTAGCCATCCATAGCTAATCCATCATGAATGAATGTAGCTGTGTTTCAATAAAGCTTTATTTATAGACACTGGAATTTTGAATTTGATTTCATTTTCACATGTCACATATTGTTCTTTGTTTTTTATCAATCACTTTAAAATATAAAAACCTTTCTTAGCCCCCAAAAACAGGGAGCAGGCATTTGCCTGATTTTGTAAACAAAGTATGGTCCACAAGGCCTAAAATATTTACTCTCTTGCCCTTTAGAGAAAAAGTTTTCCAACTCCCGATTTAGAATTTAAAGCTACAGAGCTTCTAGTGGTAAAAGTGATCAACTAGATCACCCAGCAATCCTTTGATCCAGTGGAGTTACCTTTCAAACCATTGCAGGGGAGAGGAAAAAAAAAGTAAGGCCACAGAGTCCTAATGGGAGATTTGGTGAGGGGTTCCTTTGGACAGCTCCCCTGGTGGACAGGAGGCTTATAGCTGTGGAGTAGAATAAGATATTTTTTTCTTTTTTGTCCCAGTGGGACTCAGAGTATAAAAATGATGGTGTTATATGCATCTCATATATCCGCTATGAACGAGCTCTCTGACTTACCTTCCTTCTCCCAAAGGCCCCACCTCTAAATACCATCCCATTAGGCATTAGGATTTGACATATGAGTTTTGGGAGGATACATTTAGTCTACAGCAGAGTTGAAATTCCCATAATGTAAAATTAACCATTTTAAAGTGCACCATCCAGTGGCATTTGGCACGTTCACGATGTGCAACCACCAACTCTAGTTCCAAAACAGTTTCAGCACCTGAAAATAAAACCCCCTACCCTAAGCCGTCACTCCTTGTTCTTCCCTCCCTCTAGCCCCCCAGTCATCTGCCTTTTGTCTGGATTTACCTATTCTGGAAAGTTCATCTAAATGGAATCACATAATATGTAGCCTTTTGTGACTGGCTTCTTTCACTTAGCACCATGTCTTCAAGGTTTGCCTATGTTGTAGTGTGTATCAGGGCTCCATGCTTTAATGGTGGAATAATATTCCATTGTATGAAGAGACCACATTCTGTTCATTCATTCGTCTGGTGGTGGACATCTGGGTTGTTTCCACTCTTGGCTACTGTGGCTATGCTGCTATAAACATCTGTGTGCCATATTTTAACAGCAGTGAGACTGCTCACCAATTGATGACCAGAGACTTGTTGAGAAATCCCATGGTTTCCACTCAACAGAGCAAAGGGAGGGGGAAGATGAGTCAGAGTGACATCCCCTCTTTTACCCCCTACTTCTGCTGATTTCAAAATGAGCTTCCCTTACACTCACCCGCAAGAAGGTGGGAGGGTAGGGTTTTGGTCAAGAGGGTAGGTCATCCTATGCACAGGCTGGGATGATTTGAGCAGAGGCTGAAACTCCTCGGGATTTCCAGGTAATTGAGTCCTCTGTAATATAGGGTCCTGGGGGAGGTTGACGGGGCTGGGAATGACATGTCTTAAATCTGTCATGAGAAAGAAATCTCTTCTAGGTCATGGCGGAGAATGAAATGAACACACGGCCTCATTGTCTAACTTTTTTATGAGGATTTTGTTCTGATCAAAGAGAACCCTTGTGCTTTCATTTCCCTGAGCCCAGCAAGGAGCACTTTGGTATTGTCCCAGCTCTTGGAGCAGCCTGTCCCCATTGTCTCCGTATCCAGCTTTCAAGCAGCACATCTTCTCTCACTCCCTGAACATAAATACTGTCCATCTGATGACCGTCTTCTTGGGGCTGTAGAGAACATGGCTGCTGATGGTTTTCACTTCACAAGTTGGAGAAAGAGCTTTGCCCACATGGACCTCAGTTGTAAAGCTTGTGTTGAATGTCACAGTGGGTTTTCCCTTATCTGAGTCTTCCCCAACTCCCAGCCCCCACACACGCGCACACTCCTCCCGGGACCCCTGAGGAGGCACCAGAGGACAAGCCCGCCAAGGCGAGGCCCAGTCTTTGGTCTGTGCAAATGTAGTGAGCTATTTATTTGCATTTTCTGAGCCTCACAGAAGAATGCCACGTTCTTCTCATGGACAGAGCCTGAAGGATCCTGCTGAGAATGTGTTTGGACAGGCACCGAGCCCAGGGGAAGAGGACCAAACCAGATTTGGATGAAGGGTTGCTGATGGAGCGTGGTGGCTGGAGGAAGCTCCAGATTGCAAGTCCACCCAGGGAGTGTGGGGCACACACAGCTTTGTGCATCTCTGGGCAACAGACATCCCTCTGTTCCCAAGCTGTGAGGTCCCGGAAGTCCCATGACAAGAAGCCAGCCCTCTGTGGGAGGTTTGCACATGTCACTACCTCAGTTACTTGCTGCGAACACCGACTCTCCAGACATGAGGTGCCAGCTGGAAAATTCGGCCCTTCTGGATTCAGGGAGCTTGTTAGTGGGGCTGCTGGTATTTTGTAGATGCTGAGCATTCGGGGCCACTTTGGGGAGAGGCAGCACACGCCCTGGCCCCAAGCAAGCACTGGGAAGTCCTGAAATCTGTCCCACGGCTGAGCCCACAAATGTGCAGTGCACGAGACCGTGCCCCACCCAGATCCCTGCACCAGGTGGCATCCACCCCAGTGGCTTGAGGGTGGCTGCAGACAGCCCATGGCCACCCTTTCCTGCAGAGAATCGACCCTCATCATTTTTGTCTTAGTCCACTCAGACTGCTATAACAAAATGCCGGAGATGGGCAGCCTAGAAACAACAGAAATGTCTTTCTCACAGTGCTGGAGGCTGGAGGTCCAGGCTCTGGGTGCCAGCATGGCTGGGTGAAGGCACCCTTCCTGGCTCACAGCCAGCACCTTCTCACCCGGTGGAAGGCACAGGGGAGCACTCTGGAGTCTCTTTCATAAGGGCATGAATCCCATTTACGAGAGCTCTATCTTCACGGCCTAATCACCACTCAAAGTCCTCACCTCCTAATTCTACCATATCTAGGGGTTAGGATTTCCACATATGAATTTGGGGCAGGGGGACACAATCATTCTGAATGGAGTGATTTCTTACAAGTATTTCTCCTGAGAGCACTCCTTCAACAAATCACTCATGCAAGAATCTCCATCTCAGGAAACTGATCCACCGTCTAGGGGGGCACTCAGTGGACCTTGGGGCACGTGCGGCTCCTATCGGCCCACACCGCAGGCATGATGTCACCCACAGCCTCAGCGGGAGCCAGACCCAAAGGACCATCAGGGACCCTTCCCCTGATCAGGTGGTGCTAGAAAAGGAGCCAGCCTTGTATCTGGTTAAGTCTTGGAAGGAGGTGCCCACGGGAGCTCCCTTTCACTCTGCTTGTGGCCTTCTCTGTGGGTCTCCAGAGACCAGCTCCCAGTTACCTGGGGAACCAAGGCCTGAGGCTGAGTCCTCCCTGGCAGGTGGGGGAGCAGAGTGAGTGCTCCCTTCCACTCTCTCCCCGGGGCTGGAGCCAGTCCCCCCTACCCGTAGCCCACACTGCCTAGTGGGGACCTCCTGGAAATCACCACTGCCCTGAAGCTTTTACCCCGATCCCTGCTCCCACCCAGACACTGAAACACAGAGGCCAACCATAGTGGGCATGGCTGTCCCAGACTCAGGGGTCCCCTCCTGCCCTCTTGCCTCCCAGCTTCTACTCAGACTTGGTCCTAGTTTGATCTCGGGATGACCTATCTGTGCCTCAGTTTCTTCATCCAAAAAATGGACATAATAACAATACCTCCTTCCTAGTGGTGTTGAGGGCGATCGTGCTTCACATCCAGGAAGAACAACAGAAAAGGTAAGTTTTTATCATCAATTATTCCTCCTCCTGAGTGGCAGCATCCAGCATGGCCAAGGCCGTGTCACTTAGCACTTAGGGGATCTGACAGAATTCAAGGGCAAAGTAAGAACAAGCTGTTGAGGGAGAGGACCAGGCAGCCCCCTTCAGCCCTGCTACCGAGAAGACTTTGTAGAGGAAGAATAACAGTCTGCAGGACTCGGAGGAAAGTGTCCAGGCCAGACCTTCCTTGGATTCTTTGGCCAAGTCCACGGTGGAGGCTCCCATGCATGGACTTAAAAGGCCATGCGCAGTTCTGGCAGGGTAGTTATGAACCTGGAACTATGGTCATTTGGTTTTAAGAAGCTCATTGTAAGCCTGACCACCAGTGCAGAGTTGGCCAAACTCCATCCCAAGACTGGACGGTAGCCCGGGAGATTAAATCCTAGATAAATACTCCAACTAAATGCCTTGTCGACTGGAAGCCATACTGGTCTATAGTTGGAAATAAGGCAAGAAAGATCCATGATAACATCAACCACATAAGGGAGAATTCAGGAAGCCAGCTAATAACCTGAGGTCACCACATCCTTTTTAGGAATTTCAAATCACCCTACACCTCCTCTGGGGGGGCGGTGCCATGCTGGCTCCCCAGGGAATGAATGAGTCAGTATCGAATCGCAGATGTAGACCCTCCAAGGCAGTGCTGTCCAATATGGAGCCAATGGCCACATGTAGTTACCTAAATTTAAATTTGACTCAGTGATGAAAGATAAAAGTCAGCTTTTCAGTCACACCAGTCACAATGTCAAGTGCTCAGGAGCCACGTGGCCCATGGCTACTGTCTTGGACAGTGTGGTTGGTTCTCTCTGGTGATGTTGAGCTAGCAGGTCATTCAGACACACAGACACAAGCCCAACTCACTTCAGTGAATGGAGTGGGTATTTCCCTGGGCCTCACCGACCAGGGGTGTCATCAGATCAAAATCCCAAGCTCAGACATGTGGGACCTGGGGACCACCTACCCCACCTCTGCTCACTTTCTGGGGGATGCCCCCATATATCCCTGGGATCCAGTCCTGAGGCCTGTCGCCCTGGTGTGCTTTGATGCATGAGCCCACAGCTGGAGCTCCAGCCCAACCTTTGTGAGCTCCCACCCACTGCAGAGCCACAGCCTCGGGAGCCCTGGCCACCTCCCCTGCCCTGGC